AGCTTACTTGATAATGTAGCAAGATTAATAGATTTGTCAATGTGTGTATATATAAAATATCTTTGTTTAGAATGTATAATCCTGGTTAAAGATGAATTACAGATTATTCAAATCGTATGCAAGTTCTATTTTTCTTTGGGAACAGACCGGTCTACATGTGCTCAACAAAAAGTCCACAGTCACCCTCTCTACCTTATGACAGCAGTGAGCAGTCACTTTGAGGGCAACCTGGTTCAGTCCCACTGGAAACAATGGGGGACTGCAGCCATCTTTGCAGATGGTAGATAGCGGCTCCCCAGTAAAGGATGTAAGGCATCCCCAAATGTTTCAGTTCTTTCCACTAAACCACACAATCCTATGAGAGTAGAGCTCCAAGGAAGAGGAGAAGGTGGTTAGGTAAGTGTGAATATATACAGGAAACACTCCTGACAAACCACTATTGTAATTAAACAAAGCATTTTTTCTTCCTTCAAGGTATCATCTTGCATATTCCCTCTTGTGAGGTTCTACCTAGCAATATATTCCCAGGAAGGTGGGATGAGGCATTCTAATTAACTGTCCCCTCCCAAAGAAAGCATCAAATCAAGATTCCATGTTAGGAGAGAACTGCTGTGTAAATGTGTATACAGGACTCCAGATAGCAACCTTACAGATTTCTAAGATGAAATCATTATGGAGGCATCCCATTAATGTTGCCTGAAGCTCTGGTAGAGTGAGTGCCAAGACTCTTAGGTACTGACTCCCTAGCTAATATCTAATGTCTCAATGCATGGCTTACTCCATTTAGATAGGTGCAGAGCAGAAATGGCATTTTCTTGATAGCGATCCTCAAAAGGCTACAGAAAGTCTTACTAACTTTCTAAATGCCTTAGTCCTATTCAAATAAAAACTGGAAGAACTCTTTAAAACTAGGGTATGGACTTTTGTTTCTCCTACCCTTAGAACACAGTTTTGTTTTTGGGAAGAACACTAGGACCTTACTTGACTCTACTACTGAATTTCCAATTTGCCACAGAAAGAGAGGGTGGGGTGGCGTAGAGGGTCGAGGGGGGCTCGCCTTAGATTTTAAATCCAGTTTGTACAGGACCTTGCTCCTAAGGTGCTAGGAGTGGGGCTCTGCTCCTGTGAACCTCAAGAAGTTCATGAGAGAGCTGGTGAAATGAGACTGCACCTGGCATGGATTTTGAAGCTCAAGAGACTAGAAGGGGCATGAAGGGATCAGAGAGTCCCAACTCCTACTGTGTTTAGGAGCTAAACATGGAAAACTCATGCTGCTTAAAGACAGCAGACATGGGGCCCAATTCTTCTGAACAATAGCAGTTACTATCCTATCTCTCCAACCACACGTCCTATGGTGCATGGGGGTCAAACTCTCAATGACTCCATGCCATCTTGGTCAGTGTGTGTGAAAAGTGGCAGTGGACATGGGGCTGGGGAAAATGCCACATAAATCCAGGGTGCCCTAGGTCTAATGTGCTTGACTGCACATGTCTACACTGCAAAAAAACCCAAATCAAAAAACAAAACCACCAGGACTGGTCATAGGAAATAGCTTTGGAATGAGTGATCAGGAGTTGATTCAATTTAAATTAAATGGAAGGATAATCAAAACCAAGTTATCAACTCTGATTTTGTATTTCAAAAGAGCAGACGTTGGGAAATTAAGGGCATTAGTTAAAGCAGTAAATTGTACTGAAGACCTCAGGTAAATTTTATGCCATACTCTCACTCTTTATAGGACAAAAAGAGTCCCAATTTACCATTAGGTGCCTGGATAGAGGTTTGGAGAGATGTCCAGAGGCTTGCTATTCTTTCTATCCTTAAGTGCCTCCAGGGGACATCCAGTTGGCCTTCCTGGACAAGACTGGGGTTAAGAAGCGGGCGTTGAGAAGAAGTTTGCAGAGTTTTGTTTAGAGTAGGGATGAGTCCTAGTCAGAGAGCAAGTGACCATCACAAGTTCTATGACTTCAGCAGCAACTAGCTCCTTTTGTGCCTGAGAAACCTGTATGAGATCCCTACTAAAAGTTACCGTCCCATTTGGGCACATTGCTGACACTAACCTGCATGAGATCCCCAAAAGGTGTAATCTATTTTATACATTCTGTTGAGACTATAGTCTCTGCAGGGGATCTGACTTAAGTTCCAAAGGTTTAAAGTATCATGAACTGTAATTTGTCTAATTTCTAACTACAATATTTCTCTAACTTCAATGAACCTTAGCTACTAGTCTCATAGAACTTGCAAGGTATGTTAACTTTACCAACCATGATTGCATTTTTTCTGAAGTTACAATCTCTGCCAAATGTAAATTCCATACACCTTAGCTATTTCTGTCATAAAATTTACAAGCTCCATCAGTTCATAGAATTTTGATACACAGATGATTCAAAGAGAAAAAAAGCAATGATTCATTGTGGTTAAGAGATCTGCTGGCGGTGTATACATGAGAGACTCATGTGAGTTACAAGCGTCACTGGGAAACCAGCAGAGTTTGTAGCTTCTTTTAGCCCTGAAAGTGACACAAATAAAATTCTCGGAGATTAACATCTGCCAGCTGCCTGTAAGGTGTTTGAACCTGGAAGGAATGGTTCATAAATGTTACTTATTATTAGCTTCACTGGTTTGTGAGCATAAAAACAATGAGACCTAATACAATAAATACAGAGAGCCCTCCAAAATTCTGAGTTCTGTCATCTTGCCTACTGAGTTTATAAATTATGAGCCTAAAATGAACAGCCCAGGGAATATTTTAATTTACTAGAGATTATACTTATAAAAATCCAAACACATGCCACTGCAAAATCTAAAAGTTCAGCCTCATACAATACAGTGATTCCCATTAGGGAACATAAATGAGTAAGTCACAGAAATTATAGCCCTATGTTGTTGCAAAGACATCCATAACATCTCCATAAATCAGCAGGTTACTTTAGGATCTAAGCGCTCCAGAACTGATCACCTATTTACCTCTGCCTGTTCTACAACTGAGCTAGGGTATTGCTGAAACAGCTATATATGAGAGGAAGACCAGCCCATGTAATCCTCTTTGGCTACATACTTTAGTCAAAAAGTGGCATGATAATTGTTTATAGCATAAAGTCACATTGAATACACTGTCAGATGGCAGTGCATTCCCTTCAGTGTATCTTATCCACCACACTTCTGTGTTCTGTTCCTACTGAGGCTGTGCTATAGGCAGGAAGCTGCTGTGCCTAAAGTAGAAACCAAATTTTCCTCAGGGCTTTCACACACCTCCAGCTTCAGTGATTCTGGAGGAGAAAGGAAGAGTTAGAATCACTGTCCTCCTGAGAAAGCCTACACAGTTCCAAAGTAGGGCCACTTGAGAGGATCTGAAAGGGATTAGAACTTTTAAACCACACAGGAGAGTCTTTTAAATTCATAATGGATTATTTTTATATACAGAAAAACAAAACTCTTAAGACTCAGGGCTAGTCTACACTGGCAATGTTAAAGTGCAGTCGCGGCAGCGCTTTAACATGGCTTGTGCAGTCACGGCAGAGCACTGGGAGAGATTCTCCCAGCGCTCCAAAAAACAAAAACAAAACAAAACAAAAAAACTCCACCTCCACGAGGGGCACGACTCCCAGCGCTGGTGTACTGTTTACAGTGCTGCTTTACAGTGCTGAAACTTGCTGCGCTCAGGGGAGTGTTTTTTCACATCCCTGAGCGAGAAAGTTGCAGCGCTGTAAATTGCCAGTGTGGACAAGCCCTCACTCTTGGCATTGCCACTACTGTAGACATTACAAAAACTGAAAAGGCAGTAGCAGGGAACAGATGTGAATGAGCTGAAAAAATTTGACTGGCTCCACCTATTGACAGGAAAACATCCATCAACCTTGGATTAGTACAAGGAACACTCAATTGTCCTTAGATGTATTGTTATTAAAGCCCTGCACAAAGAACATGGAGCGAATCAACAACATAAAATGCTGCAAATTGCCAGGTTCATTACAGTTCCTAGAGTTAAAATAAAGGAAGAATACTCTTATTATTGTTACTGAGGAAAGTGAAGTGAAAGAATTATTGTTCATCCCACACAGTGAACCCAGACTTCTCATTGCTTTTAGAGAAATGACTTCTTACAATTAAAATTTCCTCTAACTCATAACCTGGACTTGTCTGCAGAGAGAGGCTAACTCCTATTTCATCCTATTTACTTTTTCATTAGAGTTCTCATTTCTACTCCTTGTTTCCAAAAAGAATTAGTATATTAAATGGCATCTAGAAAGGAACTAGTAGCACAAAATAGTATTTTTTAAAATTTAACTAAAGGTATAAACATGAATTATGTTTTTAATACAATTTTAAAAATACATAATGAAATCTTTACTCTCCGTCACCTACAGGTCTTTAGGGAACTCTTATATAAAAGTGTCCTAGGATTGTGGTATTAGGGAAACAGAGAAGAACCTAATAGGTGTCAAAGTCTACATCAGCTCTCTTCAGCAACCCTAGCTCTCTATAGAGGTGACATGTTGCAAGAATGGGAAATAAATTTTTATTGTGTGTGAGGAGACAAAGATTTGCATAAATGAACAGTTAAATATACTGTAGTTAATATATTAAATGGCAAGCAGTAGTCCCTAAGGATATGACTACACTGCAATGAGACACCCGTGGCTGGTCCATGCCGCAGACTTGGGCTAAAGGGCTGTTCAACTGTGGTGTAGATGTGTGGGCTTGGGCTGCCGCCCGAAATCTGGAACCCTCCCACCTCACAGGGTCCCAGAGCTCAGTCCGCAGCTCAAACCCACACATCTACACCACAGTTAAACAGCCCTTCAGCCTGAGCTCCGCGAGCCTGAGTCAGCTGGCACAGGCCAGCCGCAGATGTCTAATTGCAGTGTAGACACACCCGAAGACTAAAAAAACCATAAGAAATGTACACAAAACAGCCCACGTATTTATACACAAATAAAGGAGATTCTCCCTTTTAAAGCCATTCAATTCTCCCAGAAGGCTAAATGTTCATTTCTTACCTGTGTTCCCATCCCCACTCTCCATTGGTGCTTTACTGGTTTCTGACGGATTGTTCATTCTTGAGTCTGCATTAAAAGAGAGGTAAAGAGATATAAAGTAATAAAAGTGGAAAATACTGATGTTGTCTTTTCTAACAAACTATGTATAAAATATTACAAGCCTGAATGGCATATATCTCACATACAATGATGATGATCAGGGATGGGAGCACAGAAATGTAGGGCTGGAAGGAATTTCAAGTACTTATCTAGTCTATGTCCCTGAGCTGGGGCAGAACCCAAAGGATGCAATGGTGAGTCTTCCCATCATGGACTGGGCCATTGTTTTAAACCTCAGCAGCCACACACACAAAACAAGACAATGCTGAGAGAATAACAGAAAGGATTCAACAGGTCAAAGGTGCCCAATACTGTGAAAATTATAGAAGCAAAGGTCTAGTGAAAAAAGCAGCAATTTATAGATTCAAAAATACTGGCTTATGCTATGTCTAAATATATTTTGTTTTTCATAAATAAGGAAATTCAGACATCACAAGGAGAAATATCATTTATCTAGTCCTGCATTTTTACTTGATAGGAATGTCATCAGTGTTAAATTATTTTTTATGGTCTCTTTCCAGCCTCCCTGTGGCTCAATCTCCAAGTGTGTTCTCCTAATTTGCAAGTTTATCAGTTTAATATGGCTAGGCTTGGCAGAATTTGATTTTTAATTTTGTTTTATAACTTTGACAAATAACATAGGTTTATTATAAAGCTTTTTTATTTTTATTAATTTAAATTTTCACAGTTTCAGATATTATGGGGGGAGCTTTCAGAAGGGGTCAGACAATTATTTAATGACACTAGATATTGAGACTGAAAAAGTTAAAGCTTTACAATTATTTAAGCACAATTTGTGAACATCACATCAAAACATAAAAAGTAAATATCCTTAAAATCAAGCTCAAGTAAGTTCTCAAGCAGCATTTTTCTTACCTTGCCTATCTGTAAATTTCAACTACTATCAATGGAAATATTTTTTCATCAGTTTGTGTGTACGGTGAAATTTACATTTACTGATATTTATCAATAAAAATCTGATCCTGCCAAGCTTAAATATAGTGAATGCAGAGAGCCTTCCCAGGTGGCAGGGAGAGAATACAGTTTCGAGTATCTAACAGCTGTTGTCAGCACAGTATCAACTCCAACTCAGGCCTTCTCATGTCTTGCTGGTAACCGCAGCATCTCACATTACCATAGACACAAGACAAGACAGACTATGTCAAGGGGTTAAACAGAATAATTTGTACAGAGAAAAACAGACAAATCCTCAAACATCTTCCATTAGCTCAGCATAAAACATAGCTCAGCTCTCAATTAGCTCAGCATAAAACTTTTGATGCAGGGTTTTCTTTTGATGGGTGTTAAGAGGGTTGCTCCTGTAATTGGTTTTCATTAAAGCAGCAGTTTCAAAACTCTGATCCAATGATCAATGGTCTACAGAGGGCTGACCACTGTCATTACCTGCTCTAGCTTGTTCCAGTTGCTTCTATAGGCATCCAGGATCTTTGTTGCCTAGTGGACTGAAAAAGCAGCTGGAAACAATGAAAAGAAGCCAGCCTGTCTCTCCTCATATCAGCTACTAAATAGCAGAGGAAACTGGAGCCACCCTCAGATACCACAACCATCACTGGTACTGAAAATGACAACCAGCAAAAGAAAGGAAAGGCATGCCAAGAGGCGCAAGAGAAAGAATGATCAGAGCCGGACAGCATGTCCAGCTAAGTGGGGAAGAAGGGAACCAGCCACAGGAAAGCTTGTGTGGGAAGAAAGGAAAACAAGCAGACCAGGCAGCAGAGAAGCATATGCAGGGATGGAGGGGAAGAAATAGGAAGGAGGAAGTCAGGTGAAGACCAAAAAAGAGTGAGTGAGTAGTTTGTTTGTTTAAGTCAAAAGTCATGAATTCAGTTAAAAATACATCAATAACTTTCCTGATGTAACTTTTCCATGTAAATAACAGATGTAGTTCACTTAGGTATGGCTTGAAAAATCCAGTCACCTATAACAAGTAGGAACCTTTCCCAAGTGAGGGGCACCAGTTTTTAAGAATCTCAGTGTTGGTTGGTTTGTTTGTTTGTTGGGGGCAGAAGGGAAGAGAATATTCTAGCCTGTATGGCTAAGATTAAACCTTTCAAATGTGAGCCAACTGTAATGGATACGCTGATGTCTGCCTGAGCTGGCCGACACATCCACGGCCAATGTCACTAAAGTGTGTGGGAGGTGTCACTGCCTCTTAGAGAATCCAGGAGAGGCCTGCCTGCCACTGTCAAGGAGTAGGGACCTTGAGTAGGTGAGATTGTGTCTTGCACCATCCCCCATCTCTTGAAACAGGAATAGGTCAGTCCCACTTTTGCCGTAATGGGCATGAGGAGAGAAAACACTCCAGCAGAGGGCTATTTAGTCAACTATCCCAGTAGAAGGGTCTATGGCAGGGGTGGACAAACTACAGCCCGCAGGCTGGATCTAACCCACCGGCTGTTTTAAGCCGGCCCTCAAGCTCCTGCTGGGAAGCGGGGTCTGGGACTTGCCCTTCTCTGGCACTCCAGACAGGGAGCAGGGTCGGGGGCCGCTCCACGCAGATCTCGGAAGCGACAGCATGGCCCCCCTCCAGCACTCCAGTCAGGGAGCAGGGTCAGGGGCCGCTCCACATGGCTCCCAGAAGTAGCAGCATGGCCCCTCTCTGGCTCCTACATGCTCCAGTGGCCCCACTCCAATGGCCCCCTCCAGTGCTCCAATGGAGAAGGGACATGCCAGTGCTTCCGGGAGCCGCTTGAGGTAAGCGCCGCCCAGAGCCTGCACCCCTGAGCCTCTCCCCACACCCCAGTTCTGATACCCCTCCCTCCCTCCGAAACCCTCAATCCCAGCCCGGAGCACGCTCCTGCACCCCAAGCCCCTCATCCCCAGCCCCACCCCAGAGCCTGCACACCCAGCCAGAGCCTGGACCCCTTCCTGCACCCCAACCCCCTGCCCCATCCCTGATTCCCCTCCTGCCTGCCGAACCCCTCAGTCCCAGCCAGAGCACCCTCCTATACCCCAAACTCCTCACCCCCCCCCCCCCAACAGTCCACTCCCCAGCCCGGAGCCCCTCCTGCACCCTGAACTCCTCATTTCTGGCCCACAGCCCAAACGAGAGCCCTCAACCCATCCCACACCCCAACCCCAATTTTGTGAGCATTCATGACCCACCATACAATTTCTATTCCCAGATATAGCCCTAAGGCCAAAAAGTTCGCCCACCACTGATCTATGGGATGTGATTGGAGGGTTCCTTTAAGCCCCTTCCCATCCATACAGCCATCAACTTGGTGAAGTATTGTCAACAAGATCTCCATCCCAATAAAACAGCCCTCAGCTAGGTGGCCAGGAGAGGGTCTACTGCCACTGGTCTTTAAATTGGCTGGGGCCTGGCTCCTCAAGGCTGTAACTCCCCAGGGAGAACTAGTGTCAGTTTCTGTTCACTGACACCATAGCAAAGAGCTGTTTGTATGCTCCCCGTCCCGCCCACCTCTCGCAGATGGGTCTGTGTGTAGGACCAGCATACATGGATTTACTTGGATGGGGCACCACCCAGCACTAAATTTGTTGAGGGAAAGCATTGGAAGTGGCAACTGGCATTAATTACAGGCTCTGATTTTAGCCAGCAAGAGACTGGAGACTTGATCCACGTAATGATGAATGCATGACCTGTAGATGACGAAGCAAGAAGACTTGGGATACCAGTGTATTTCAGCCTAGTGGCAGCCTTGGGCTAGTAGGTTTTGGGTAAGTTTTTCAAGCCCTGAATACAGGGGATGTTATGAGTTCATGAATGGGAAAGAAGTTGGTCAGCATGATCACAAGTGGAAGGGGCAGAGGCCATAAGATCATTTCTCTGTTAAACTGTGGTCCAGACTTTGAAAAAGGATTGAGCCTCTGCATGAAGAAAATAGCACTGTGCTTCCCACAGGGCTTCATTACAGAGACTAAAGCACTGGGGCCCTGATCCCGATTGGGGCCTCTAACGGCACGTTATTATGAATAAATTGTTATTATTGAAGCTATTGAAGAAAATAAATTGGGTACAGAGCACTGCAAAATATAGTGGACGTTCTCCCTCTCTTTTGACAAAAGGCTCATGCAGCAAACCTTTGAAAATATTTTGCTCCACACCTACTGGATGATCAGTAGTTTGTCTTTAATGAAGCTGCAAATACCATTCCACAGGGCAACAAGAATAGTTTTTGCCAGACTGCACTGGGAAATCAAGGCTTCAGAAAGAGGTTTTTAGTTGTTGTTTAGTGTTAGATGTATATGGGGAATTTAGGCAGGTAGTAAAATGTGCTTGCAGTAAGAATATTTTACTTTTAAGATTCACCTCTGGCAGCAACATATTTGCAATGTTCTGTCTTCCATCAAATCCCAAACACCATCACAAGTAAAGAGATAAACCCACTGTAGAAACTTCCTGTCAGAACTGCTTTGAACCCAAGGAAGGATAAACCTTCATTACTACTTCACCAGCTTGATGTGTGTGTGGAAGGTGATGTTCTATGTTTATTTTGCACAGAAAGGGTCAAGCACTCTATCGTGTTTCCATTGCATACATCTGAAGCACAATACTGTTATGAACAAAATCTGTAGGGCACTTCTCTGTAGGGCACAAAGACCTACAATAATGTAATTGATTTGTTTTGTAGATACTCAAAATAATTTTCTTTTGCTATTAAAAAAATAAGGGTGTTAACGCCTTCTTTCCCTCCAACACCTTTTTCCCCTTTAGACTTTTCTCGAGTTTTAAATAAAGGCTGGGCTGCAAATTTCTGTCAATACCACCTAAAAACAAACCTCAAGCACAGAAGGAAGGATCGAAAGCAGCAGGTGCATGACTGAAATCAAACTCAGAGGAGCTTTTACATTCATTCTTGTTACTCTGATAGCAGAATTTGAGTGTGAGACACAGCACTACTGTGCCAGGCTTTCACTGCCCCTCTGATATTTCAAAAGGTATTCAGAAAAAACTAAAAAGCAGAGAATGGACAAGACTGGAGTGATAGCTAAATTGCAAATTAAGCTATGTGTACATGTAAAATCATCTTAATATAGAATTTTACACACTGTTTCCCCTCACCCATTCAAGGGAAACCGGCCCAATACTCCATCAGAACCAGCATAAATAATTCCCTGGGAACCACAGCTCACAGGGATTCCTCAATGCCAGCAAAACACCAAATGGGTCACTTGCAAGTTTAAGTCAAAGATTCATATGTAATTGCTGCATATCTGGAAATATGCATGTTCAGATGTCTGCTTAAAAACAAACATCAGACTAACGATGGTCCAGTTATATCTTTTATTATAGAAACAAAAAGGAAATACTCTTAGGCTCCATGTGTGGAATTCAGAGCTCCGAAAGCACCACATTACCTACTGCAAAACCAATAAACAATTATTACAAATAACTTTTAAAATATAGAAAAGGGAAGAAATATGAGCACAGGACTGACAGGCTGCTAATGGAAATACGTTATCCCAGTACCTTAAGCATAGCCTGCATCAGCATCAATGGCAACTGTGACCTCCACCCTATTTTCCATTACACAAGAAGAAACCTTGCTATTATGTCAGAAAAACATATATACACACACAACATATACGTTATGTGAAGAGTTGATATGAGTAAGTGGTTTGAAATTGGAATGGTTTTGTTTTTAAAAATACTAAAAAACAAACAAACAAACAAAAAAAGAGTATATGGATCTGTAATTCAAGTCTTAAGTCTTAATGTCTGTCAGAAGTCAAATGCTTCTCAGAATAAAATCCCCAAACCAAAAACTGTAACTTTAACTGTATTAAAACTTTAACTGTATTAAATATCACCCAAACCGAAGAGCAGAATTCTCCTGAACCAGGAAAAAACTGGAATAGCAGGGTGGCACTTGCTGTTGATTCACTGGCGAGCTTCACCTTTAAAATGCCTTCTGCAGACCCTGCATATGAGATTAAGCCGCCATGCATAGTCAATCTCTCACCCTCTATTTCCATATTAAACGCTTATAAGAAAGAGCAGAGCTGGTACCCACCTAGAACGTAGTCACTGCAGTCCAGCATTGCTGTGAAATCCTCTACAGGCTCAGACAGTCCAAGGAAAGAAATAAAGAGGGGGAAGACTATTTCTAACAAATTTATGCTACTGCTCTCAACAGAACAAGAAAGGGAGTGGGGGTGAGGGGGAGAAATACAACTTCAGTTACACCATAGCAATCTTCAACTGAACAGGGAAACTTCAGTTGCTCTGTGGAGTTTTAGTCTCTCCTACTAGCTGTGTCTGACATTGTCAAGGCGACTGAAGCGTGAAAAGTTCCCCTTTTTGTAATAAAACAGAAACAAAGATTGCAGCTGGCAGTTTCCATAATGAAGCTTAATCAGTATGCGCCTGATTAGGGCCTTATGCAAATCTCCCCTCGTTAGCACAGCAGCCAGCACTTTGAAGTCCATGAACAATTCATTTGCAGAGTACACTGAAAGCGTTCCCTGCATAATTTAAATCATGGTATAAATATTTATCAGCTCATTTGCATATTAATTGGCAGTGCATGAAGGGAAAAATTATCTCCCAAGTGCCAGCATAATAATTAGGGAACAAAATGAAATTTCTTCCAATAGCTTGGCTTCTCGGACCTAACTCAAGCACAGTACTCATGGAGCAGGGAGGGAGGGAGGGAGGGAGAGTTCTGTTAAAATGCCACTGAAATGACACATACAAATTAGAAACAACTCTACAGACTTTAGCACCTTTAATCTTATTCCTGCTGGCAACAATAACTTCAGTAATAAAGGGGATTTGGAAAAAGCTTTCTATACCATCCAAATAGTCCAAGAAAACAATTAGCAAGGTAGGAGCTGAACACAGAGATGTAAACCTGGTGTTTTCCAAATGTTAATACAAACTGTCACGAGACGGTCCCACTCAAAAACAGAAGGCAACATTGGGGCAGAGAATCAGCACACTTCTTTTTAAATGGTCAAAAAAGCCTGGTGATTCATTATCTGCTAATTGCTTTGCAACGCTAGATTAACAGTGTATATGTCCAGTATTGTGTAACATTTGACACCCATTAATCTATCCCATGTGATGTTGCAAATAATTTTTAAACTTTCAAATTATTTCCAAGTAAAAACTACTAATCCCTTCTACAAGTGTAACCTGAGAGCTAAATAAAGCTTACTCTGGAGCTCGGATTCCAGGAGGGGGATACTTGAGATAAGGGTTGTGGTGGTCCTTGGACCACCAATGGTTGGCAGAATCTTGCCCAGCAGTCTGTGGAATTAAACATTTTGAGACCCAGCAAAGAGGCAGTGGAGATTGGGAGTGGTTGTGGTCCATGAAAGGATATTTCTTACAAAGTGGTTCACAGAATGAACATACCAGAGAACCACAATTTTACACCAGCTCTATTAAATAAAATCTCTGATATAACATACAAAATCCCATTTCCAAGACAGCAAGAACAAGATATGTTTCCATGGTTCAAGGGATAAATGCATAGCCTGGATGTGAAAACTCAGCAGCCCATTTTCTATTCAGGAATAAATGAAGCTATGGCCAATACTGGATGAATGCAGTCGTGGCCACCTTAAGGTATAACTGTATATGAATTTGCAGAGGGAAAGGTACTTCTTTAACTAGTTGCTCTTCTCTCTCCTTTATGAAGTGGAATTCAAATCCCACCCCTTCACACCAAAGGAAAAAAAGATTTCCAATTCCCGTACTATTGACTCAAATTTATTTTCACTCTGGACCTCTCCTTCTGTTCAGTCTCACATCTCTGCCTACCTCTCATGGTATGCCCACACCTCAGAATCATAACAGACAGCATCCACACTACAAAGTAACAGTTGAGTGCTAGATGGGTTGCTATAACAGTGGTGCTCTACTTGTTCCTATATAGCACTAAGACTTCTGGGGGGAAAATCCCATGGTTCAGAGAGTTTCAGTAAATGGCACTATTCTATGAATGTTTTTGCCATATATTGTGGGAGAACTCTCCACCTGGGGATCCTGGGCAGAAATGGCATGACACCAGCAACTCATTAAAGCAAGCCATTCCTGGTGCCTACTAGCCTCTGGCCAGCTGACAGCACAGTGAGATGCCCTCTTTGGGACCATTCTCAAAGAATGGAGCTCCGTATCAGAGACAGATGAGTTCAAGTGCTGATACTGGAAGCTGCATGTGAAAAGGGGAATGAATGCTAAGACTCCAGGACAGTAAACAGGGAATAAGTAGATGACAAGAAAAGACCAAGGGGTTGGGTACCTGTCATACTGTGGGACGGCACTGGAAGATTAGTGCCCCTCAGTTGTTGTGTCACAGGCTAGCTGTGTCCATGCTACAGATATGACACGTTGGCAGTTGACAAGGGAGGGTCACTCAAGGTCTGCCCTATATTCCCAGTTGTGCTAGCCAACCTGCATTACTACCACCACACACAAAGGGTTTGTGTGTAGGTTCAAGGGGTCAAGATAACAATACTTGAGCTGTAACCTTGTGTTAACTTACTTGTTAAAACATGCCCTCAGTTATCTCCTCCTCAAACTAAACATGTCAAAAACAGAACTCATCTTTCCTTCTAAATTGTCTCCACTAAACCTCTCCATTCTCCAGTGATAATTTTGTTACTGTGAAAGTAACCTTCCCTTTCACACAAGAACGGAATCTTAATTCAAAATAGCCAGAACCAGTTACCTTTATGGCACATTAATATCTTCTGTTTACTAAGATTTTGGGAGAGGACTGAAAGCCTGAGTGCGATGAGATTTGGAGTGGGGTACCGTAGAATTTACTGCTTCAAAATTATGGGCCAGTTAAGATCATTTAATTTTGTATTTGGGTTGCGCCATACTGTGGTTATTCCTGCATGGATTGCCATTCTAAAAACTCTCCTGGTGTCCTGAGCTGTGAATAGATCTTTTTTTTTTTTTTTTTGGTATTTAGATCTAAATAAAATAACCCTTTCAAAATCCTGTCACTCTTTCCTCTAAGGGTTTGTCTATATCAAGAGAAAAGGTACACCACTTTTCCTAGCGTAGACATACCTTAAATCATTTCCAATCTGTAATCGCTGCAAAGACTGGTTCTCTCTCAACTTGACAACTGTAAACTTCTCCAATCTCACTTCATAGCACAAAACAAATCACATGATTTCTTCCTGGTTTATCCTTCCCTTGCCCTGTCTTTCCATCTGTTATGCCAAATTTAGACTGTAAAACAATACGCTCCTCAATGGCACTGCATAAATAATTTTTTTTAAAAAGACTGTTATAAAGCAGAAAAAAGGCATCTTAGTTCTTATAGTGAAAAAATCCAAAACGCTATTGGCAGAATTAAAGGCAAAGTTATTATCAAAGGCCTCCCGTCCCACATGCTTTTACGGGGAGAAAAGAATCTTCATTTTTATTCACACAAATTTTAATCTGTTAGTGAAATGTCACTTATTACATGCCCTCAATGATCGCTAGGAAGTTTCTACCATTAGGTATCTCCATTTGACAAGTGTGACCTTTACAAACTTCCCAGGCACACTTTCTGCCCCAATACTGAAAGATTAGCCTCTGAGGCTAACAGTACATTAGTCTCACTCCTGAGCAGGGTACTGTGAACCCTACTGTGAAAGGGAGTATGGCATCAACCATAACATACCTCCCTTCTTAGTATCTCAAACTCTGGCCCAGTTTTATCTCTCAATAACCATGCAAAACACTGGATAGCACAAGATTTGAAAATAGCCCTGATAAGTATTCACTGCGTCAACTAACACTGAAAATCCTCAGAGGAAGACTGCTTTCCATAGGTCATATCAGCCAAGAGTAATATGTTGGAGCCTGCCCAAGTCCCTAAACCACGTCAGAATACCCCCTCCCCCCCAAAAAAGAGCCACATTTTGAATCCTCAAACTCCCATTCCTCAAATTAAGAGACGAGATTTCCTATTACTTTTCAAACAGACCCCAATGTATTGTGAACAGAACACACTGATGAGCAAAACCAACCATTATTTATGTTAGCTCAATCCTCAGAGTAATTAACGACTGACAATAGCTTCTTAATAATTAAGATTACAACTAGGTTCCATTATACATTCTAATTTTAGCTCCAACCCATGTTTTGGTTCGCAAAACTAGTTTGATCTAAAAATTGCTAAGTCCTGGTCTACACCTAAAACTTAGTCAACCTAGCTACGTCGCTCGGGAGCATGAAAAACTCAGCCTGATACACTCAAGTTAAGCAGACCTAAGCCTAGGACACCACTAGGAATTCTTCCGTCAACCTAGCTACCGCCTCTTAGGGGATCAATTACCTGCACTGAAAGAAAAACCCCTTCTACTGCTACAGCAAATGTCTACACCAGTGGTCTCCAACTGTTTTATGCACAAGGTCACTTTTTGAATTTAAGTGCAACACAGGATCTACCCCACCTCTTCCCCAGGCCCCACCCCTTCCCCGAAGCTCCATCCCCCCTTCCCTCTGTCATGCGCTCTCTCCACCCTCACTCACTTTCACTGAGCTGGGGTTCGGGAGGGGGTGTGGACTCTGGCTTGGGGCCAAGGAGTTTGGAGTGTGGGAGGGGGCTCCGGGCTGAGCCTGGGGCAGGGGTACAAGAGAAGGTGAGGGGTGCAAGCTCTGGGAGAGTTTGGGTGCAGGAGGGGTCTCCAGGCTGGGGCAGAGAGTTGGGTTGCTGGCTCTGGGAGGGAGCTTAGGGCTGGGGTGCAGGCTCCCACTGGGTGGCGGAGCAGCGGGGCTAAGGTAGGCTCCCTGTCTGTGCCAACCGCACACTACTACTGGAAGCGCCAACAAGCGCGGAACTCCCTCCCCTCCTCCTCCAGGGGCTGCGCTGGCCGCTTCCAGGAGCGGAGTGGGGCTGGGGCAGACAGGGAGCCTGCTTTAGCCGCGCTTTTAGTGGCTGGAGATCACGATTGACTGGCAGAGGCTCCAGGATCGACCAGTTGATCGTGATATACGGGTTGGTGATCACTGGTCTACACTAGTGTTAGTGGTTTAGCTGCAGTGCCGTAGCATCTGTAGTATAGACATAATCCTAAATTTACTCTGAAGGCTAAAGAACAATTTTCTGCAGAAGTCAAATAAAACTGATCTGTTAAGAGTTACACGTCAAACTTGCTATGATTTGAAATTTTTTATCTGCGTCTAAATTTTCTGTCCCCCGCGATTAGCTCAAACAAAACTCACTTCAAATTTTCCGTGTAGTTAAATCTCCTTCAAA